TATAAACATCATCCTCTCCCTCTATCTTTCTTTTTTTTCACCTCTTTGATTCCGACTGCGAGACTGTTGGCGAAGTTGTTGATCGGAAGCTGGGTGTTGCTGATCCGATTCCCCAGAGGGTTGTTGTTCATGTGCATTGACATGAGAACGCCTCCCTTTACCTGCTTGTTCGCATTCCATCCGTTCCTGATTCTTCACACAATGGGATAGGATCATTAGCACCATTGAAAGGAGGAGATGGCCAATCCGTCGCCCTAGACGAAGGAGAGAGGGGAGAGCATCCCCCATTTTTTCTGGGTCTTTAGGTATCTCAGCTGGCGGATTGGGAATAAAATTTGGTGGCCGAAGGAAGCTCAATTGTGGATCATGTGCATCCTTCGAGTCCCCATAATAACCTAAGTACTCAAAAAATGCAACATGACAGGATATTCGGATGCGCTGATTAGAAACATCATAACACACATACCCTTTGTGTTTTTCACTATATCCCACAAACATGCATTTCATCGCTTTGGGTTCCAACTTCGAGCGTTCTCGCCGAGGCAGAAGAACATAACAGACACATCCAAAAACTCGCAACCAATCATAATTCGGCAGCTTGCCATAGAGTGCCTCATATGGGCTACGCTGCGACAGGACAAGGGTGAGTTGCCGGTTAATCAAGTAGACTATTGTATGAACTGCTTATACCCAAATTCGAGCTGGCACCGAGGACTGGAAGAGAAGTGCCCGAGTAAGTTCCAAGACGGGACGATGTTTGCGCTCAACCTTCACCTCCATAAGAAAATTCACCTCCAGGATCCGAACGCAGAACCTTCACCTGTTTGCCGAACTCCGTATGAAACATCTGCAAAAATTCCTTAGCTGCCTGTAGTAAATCTGACTTCTGCCGAAGGAAGTACACCAAGGTAACCGGGTAGCCTGATCAATAAAGAGCGCAAAATAGTGAAACCCAACACGCGATGTCACAGAAGCAGGACCCCATAAATCAGTATGAACTAGATCAAACGGTTCCGAATAAACTGTAGTACTTGAGTGAAAAGATTGTTGAGATAATTTGGCCTAAATACAGTGAATACAATCATGAGAATCAGAGGCAGAAATATCCGACAACAACTTATTCTTAGACATCTCTTTCAAACGTGCAGAATGAGGATGGCCTAGCCGACGGTGCCACAAGTCCCAGTTTGACAACTTAACTGAATTAACTGAATAACCAAACAAATCTAAATTTCTAGAATTTCCACAGGATCCTTGAACAGCTTCTCCAGCGAATGCTTGAGCAGCCCCTACATCACCACCTTGAGCATCACGTGAGTAGCTATCCAAGGTATAAACACGCCGAATCTTAGTCCTGTGCCCGATCTCCATCCTCGTTCTCTTGTCTTGCACAGTACAACCAGTCTCATCAAAGACAATCCGACAACCGTCCTCAGTTGGCTGACCCACAGATACTAGATTAGAAACAAGCTTGGGAATATATAAAATATCTTATAAACACAACTCATTTTGCTGCACCCTCATCCCTTGTGCATATAGACAAGTACCATCGGCCACCTGTAACGTAACTGAAGAATTCGGCCGAAGTGTTCTAAAAGAGGAGCTTGTGCCTGTCATATGATTAAAAGCCGCGAAATCAAGATGCCAAATGAGGACGAACTAGGAAGCCTACCAGCCGAAAAGACAGAGCCAAGAGCCAAAGGAAGAACATCCTTGATTTCTGCCTGCACCATTTGGCGAATAGCCTCCTGTGAGATACCCGCCACCTGTGGAAGAGCAGCTTCGGTAGGCACCAAAGTAGTAGCAAAGGCCGAACCTGAAGGAGCAGTCGGACGAGATCCACGAGGCGCACCCGAACCAGTCCCAGATGTGCGAGCACCACGACCTCTCTAATCTAGAATCGGACATGCACCAATTTCGTGCCCGGACGCCTTACAATAATTGCATATATCTCTTTAGGTAATGAAGCTACACATGCCCAAGCTCCTGACAATAATAGCATATGACTTCCCCGCTAGCAGAACAAAGAAAACGAGGCCGCTGAGCATTAACCGCAAAGGCCGCCGAACTGGCAGGAGGTGTAGCCTTCCACCCCGACTCCCCAGCCACTGCAAACGCGGACGATGATTCAGCTTGATGAACATCAGGCTTAGCTTGACTGCGGAGGCGGGTTTTCCTAATCAACTCACTCAAGGCACCTTCCAGTTTGGTCACATTTTGATGAAGCAGAGATGAACGAATACTTTCAAATTTCGGATGAAGTTTCATTAAAAAATGCATGAGACGAGAGCTGGTACGTTCCTGTTGAACCTCGGCAGACGCAGCAGCAGAGACCAACAACATAGTTTTTTTTAGATAAGGGTGATATAGGTTACTTTTTTGTCATTAGGTACTACTGAAGGGACTCGAACCTGGGACCTCCAGGTTCATGGCTAGTGGTATTATCACTAGACTAATCCCTTGTTCGTAAAGAGACCAACAACATAGTTACCATGTCATGTTCCCTCCACAAAGTAACAGCTGCCTAATAGTAGGATCGGATATCCATGTCCCCTTGATGCAACCAAGCAATATCCAGTTCTACATCAAACTTCTGAGATGCACTTGATTAGGAATGAAAAGTCGTTAAATGACTCCACATAGCGTGAGCTGTGGGGAAACTTCGCAAACTGAGGTAAATCGAGGGATCGACTGATCCCAAGATCCACCCCATAACGTGGGCATTATTAACCGCCCAATCCTCCTTCACATATGCTGTAGTGTTCTCACTAGGCTCTGCAGCAATCCCATCAAGAATAGCGGCAACCTGCACCCTTGAACAAACCGTCGGAATTGGAATTCCCACAAGGCAAAAATTTTGTCATCAAACCGAACAGTGAAATTGTCCAACTTAGAGTTCTCCATCAAGCCAAATCCACACACACAAGAAAGCAGACAAAAATCCAGCAGGACCGCAAAGAAAACAAGATCTGCCAAGGAACCGAGAAGGGAAATACCAGAATTGATCGGCAAGCAAGAAAACCAGAACACACGAAAGTTGTACCAAGTCTAGAAGCGCGCACAAGAGCCAGAAAACCGCACTGAGAAATCCAAAACCAAGAATACCAAGCACCACTGAAATATTCAGAACGAGAAACTAAGCCTGAGATCCACGAGAGGCTCTGATACCATGTCAAATACAATCACAAGAAGAACGAAATACCGGATTTACGTGGTACCCTCAACGTGTATCGTTGAGACTAATCCACGGAGAGGAGCAACCTCTCAGAGTCAATCGTATTAATTAAGAGTCCTTAGGTCAAACAACCCGCTATCACAACAAATATATACCCTAGCCGTTCGACCCTCTCTCACGTAGTAGTAGGCAATAATAATAATTAAAAGACTAATTACAATTAACTACCTACTACTATCTAATATTGCTAACAGTTATTTGATGAAGAATCCCACAATCGACTCGCTCGCCGAGTCCCTTAACACTCCCCACCTATCGCGGAAGATGGAGGTTGAGTCCCTTTATAATCATCCACATCGAGTTTGATCCAATCATAAGAGCGTGCATCGTTTCGTGCTCGAAGTGGAATTTAGAGCAATCAGAGATGGTCTCATTTTAGCTTGGAGCTAGGGGTGGACATCCGATTCGGTAAACCAAAACCAAACCGGACCGAAACCAAACTGAAACCGAACTATTGTTATTCTGTTCGGAATTCAGAAGGCAAAACCCTATATTTCGGAAACCAGGGTACGCAAGACCGAACCGAATTCCAAATAAATAGTTCAACCCACAATCCTACAACCCAATTCACTACTCAAGCCTCACACAAAGCCCAAATCTCTCATGGTCCAAATCAAACACAACCCAAAATTAAATCCCTTTCAGCCCACAACTCCTATCCATGTTTGCTGCTAAATGCTACTACTAACCTAACTCTAACAGAGGAGAAGAAAATGCAACTCACCAGCCCCGCCGAATCCTCCTCTCATCTCTCGCCCCCGCCGACTCTCGTCTTCCCCGCTGCCTCCTAATTGAGAGGTCGTCGGTGTCATTCCTCTTCTTTCTGTTCTCTTCTCCTCGCCCGCCATTCATGATTCAACCTAGAAAACCAACCAAAAGCAAAATCTCAAATTAGCAAAGCCTATAAAAAATTCAAATTTAAAACCACATAATCGAATTAACCAAAGAGGAGGGACATGGATCTTCTCTTGCTGTGCATGACTGAAGCGGCGGCGGCGGCTTCATTCCCCTTTCGTTTTCAATCTCCATCACCCCTCCGCCTTTCGTCCTCGATCGAGAAGAAGAAGAAGGGGTGGGACAAGTTCGGCGAGGAAGACCCTTTTTACGATCTGATAGCTTTGTGGTGCTCTTCTTCAGACCTCTGCCTCTTAAACTTATGCAGATGTAAAGGAGAGAGAAGGAGGAGGAGGAGAGGGAGAAGAAGGTGGGACGGGAAAAGGGTGGCTGCCGAATGGAGAGGAAGGGACTCGTCGGGGCAGACGTCGACGACTAATGGAGCGGGATCTCTGTATCTGATGTTGCGGCGGAGAGAAGAGAAAGAGGAGAAAATGAGAGAGGTGTGAGGAGGAAGAGAAAGAAAATGGGTTTCTTTGGGGTCTCATTTGTTAGCGAAAGAAGAAATAAAGAGAGCGAGAGAATATCAAAACTCGGCTTTTCTGTTCCGAATCGAGTAATATTTCAGTTCGAAAGGTTTGCCATTTTACTGAAATTGAAGTACCCGTATGCATATTTTTATTTGGTTCAAACCAAACCGACCGAATGCCCATGCCTACTTAGAGCTAGAGATTTTGAGGGTAACTCCACAATATGGCGTCGTGTAGATTCCGAAGAAATAGTTTCTTCTTATTCTTTTCAATTTCCATGCCCGGCAGCTCAATAATTAACTTCCATTGCGGCATCATCATCCACATAATTTCACCACCATTCTTCTTCCCCAATTTCCTTCTCTCCCAATTAACTCCCACAAAGGAAAAAAAAAACGAAAATGGCGCAGGATGATACTACCAGTCATTTCCAGCAGCTGCACATCTTCTTCTTCCCGTTCATGGCGCGCGGCCACATGATCCCATTCCTCCACATGGCCAAACTCTTCGCCACCAAGGGCATCAAATCCACCATCGTCACCACCGACCTCAACCACCCATTCTTCGCCCCAGCCGCCGCCGCAACCCCAAACCTCGAAACCACCACCATCGCCTTCCCGGCGGCAGAAAATTCCGGCCTCCCTCCCAACTGCGAGAACATGGATTCCATCACTTCCCGCCCGGACGCCGCCGAACTAGCCCCGAAATTCTTCCTCGCCACCGCCTCGCTCCGCGGGCCCCTCGAAAGCCTCCTCGAATCCTCCAAACCGGACTGCCTCGTCGCCGACATGTTCTTCCCCTGGTCCACCGCCGCCGCTGCCAGATTCGGAATCCCCAGGCTGGTCTTCCACGGCACCGGCTTCTTCTCCCTCTCCGCCGCCGAGACGGTCCGGATCCACGAGCCGCACATAAGGGTATCCTCGGATTCGGCACCTTTCCTCATCCCCAATCTCCCCGGTCGAATTTCAATGACCAGGAAGCAGCTGCCGGAGTACGCGAGGCAGAGTGGGGATTCTGGGTTCGGGAATTTGATGAAATCGGTCAGGGAGTCGGAATTGAAAAGCTACGGCGTGATCGTCAACAGCTTCTACGAGCTGGAGACGGATTACGCCGATTACTACAGATCTGCTCTCGGGAGAAAGGCTTGGCACATCGGTCCCCTGTCTCTCTGCAACAAGGACAATGGTAAGGAATCGGAAAGGGGGAAACGAGATTCAAATTGCCTGAAGTGGCTCGACGGGAAACGAACCAGCTCGGTGATCTACGTTTGCTTCGGGAGCATGTCGATGCTCGCGGCAGATCAATTGAGGGAGATCGCGATCGGATTGGAAGCTTCAGGGGAGCAATTCGTATGGGCGGTGAGGAAGGACGAGAGCGAGGACGAGAGCGAATGGCTGCCTCAAGGATTCGAGGCGAGATTGAGAGGGAGAGGGTTGATTGTAAGGGGATGGGCGCCGCAGGTTGGTAGCGAACTAATTACTTGGTCATCCAATAACTCGAGTTGTTGAGAAATGGGTGCTAATTTTTTTTATTTCTTGGACAGATCGCGATCTTGGAGCACCGGGCGGTGGGAGGGTTCGTGACGCACTGTGGGTGGAACTCGACCCTGGAAGGGGTGGCGACGGGGAAGGCGATGGTGACATGGCCGATGTTCGCGGAGCAGTTCTACAACGAGAAGCTGGTGACGGAGGTGTTAAGGATCGGGGTGGCGGTGGGGGCGACGGACTGGGTGCGGCTGCGTGGCGGCAGGATGAGAGGGGAGGATTTGGAGAGGGCGGTGAGGAAGGTTATGGACGGCGGCGACGGGGAGGCAGGGGAGATGAGGGAGAGGGCGAGGAAGGTCGGTGAGATGGCGAGGAGAGCTGTGGGAGAAGGAGGGTCTTCTTGGAAAGATTTGAATGGTTTGATTGATGAGCTGAGGCGGCTTCGTAGCCATTGTGGAAATGTATGATTAGGTTAATAGTTCAACGTTCTTTTATACTCTTTGCAGCGGAACAGTTTTTTATCGTTGTCGCTGGCCGCTGCTAATTACTTGTCTGCCGGATTGAGGATGACAATGTTATGACCGATCTCTTTAAACCATTTTCATTCTCGATTTCAAGTATTCAAACTCATATTGAGTTTATAGGGATAAAGAGTAGTTCCGGTATGTATATTCAAATATTATACTATGCTTATTGCTTAGAATTCAACATGTAGTTCTTTAATTATAAAACGCTAATGAAGTATAAAATAACGAAGATTCAATGATTCTCAACTCAAATATAAAGCATCTAGTTTTGAAATATATTTATTAATTTATAAGACAATGTACGATATTACACATCATTTATCTCCGACTCCAATGCATCTATTAAATGATAAATAACTAACATCATCTTGTTAACAAAAGGGAAAATAAGTAAAAAGTGAGTGGCGAATTGAGTAAAAGAAATTAGTGTTTCATCCGCTGCAACTTGAATTCTGGAGCACATCTTTTGTTATTTCTCGTGCTTGAAGTTATTAATACGCCCACGAAAAAACGAGTCGTATCACCAAAAATAAGTGTTTGTGAAATCATACCGTACTGACGAACCAACGGAAAAAACCTCACACTAGAATCTAAATCGATAGACGGTCATTAACGTTATAAAACAAGTACAGTTAAACCACGTTTCATTATAAAAATACTAATAATTTTCGGCCCGAGCTTCGCAGCGGTTAGACTATTGCAATACACTTGTTTTATATTTAAGAAATAACTATTATATAATGGTGTTACATAATGTATTTATTATTTACGTAATGTTATATAATGGTATACATAATTTTTTTGTAATGTGTGGTCTAATAATAAAATCAAATTAGGAAAAATATCATAGTCGAGTAAACTATTATGTAAAAGTTAACTTACCTTATGAAACCTTTTTGTTATCCGAATTGATGAGATAGTGAATATCATAGTTAATAAAAAGAAATTTTAATCAATAATTAAAGAATTAAATTAAGAAGAGCATCACATTTGAATATTCGATTAAACTATCATGTGAAAAATAACTACCTTATAAAACTTTTGTGTAATGTAAATTAATGAGAAAAACCTGAAAATATCATTAAAATTTATATTATAAAAGACTTACATAATACTTTTTTAATTGATACATAAGAAACGACTATTCCTCCATAAGTTTTACGTAATGACTTAATCATTATGAAAGTCATACTCTATTGTGTTTTTCTAATTGATATATAAGAAATAACTATCTATCCATAAGTTTGATCTATTATAATTTACATAAATTTTATAGCATGGTGTTACGTAAATATTCTGAAATGTGTGGTCTAATAATTAAAATCAAATTATAAAATCATTATATTTGACTAAACTATTATGTAGAAGTTAACTTACCTTACTGATCCTTTGCATAATGCAATTGATGAGATAATAATAAAGTAACTGAGTTATGAAAAGTATCACATTTGATTAAAGTGTTATATGAACAATAACTAACCTCTCCATATGTTTTACGTAATGTCTTAATCATTATAAAAGTTACACCCCATTATGTTTTTGTTTAAGTTGATACATTAAAAATAACTATCTACACAATAAATAAAAGCCAAATGAGAAAACGTAAAATCACATTTCAAATTTTCTGCATCCAGAGTGAAAGCAGGAGTGGTAGATTCGTCTTCACAATCATTTATTATTTTCTTATTTACAGAAAAAAAATACATCAGTAATGAAATTTGAAACGTGGGCTTTTCGAACAAAGATAAGAAACATAAATACTTCCTCTGTAAGTGTGATATGATATAATATATGTGACTTTTATAGCACGGTATTACGTAAAAATTCTGTAACGGAGAAATGGCATAGAAACCCCTTTTATGTGTAATTGATCACAGGTTTTTGTTAGGTTACATAATTGATCGGCCGACGGAGATCCGAACTAGAAGATGAAGAAATTGCTTGTAGGCAGAAAGATTGAGCAGTAACCTAATATCAAGGGTGGAGTCGCAGTGGTGGTCGAAGGCGCTTGATCAGAGAAGGTATTGACCGGCCGACGAAGATCTGAATTGGAGGATGAATTGGGAGAACTTGGCAGAGGAAATAGATAAATAAAAGTCTACAATAACATGGACTTGTGCTTTTAATTAATCGATGATTGATTGATTGATTGATGATTTTAGAATCTTTCCAAAAATATGACAATACTCAGCTAAACGATCAGTTTCCGTATTGTCAGAAATTTGGAGGCTAATGCTTTTCAACAACAAGCACACAGAGAATCTCAAGAAAAAACCAGAGGCACTGCCCACAGATTAATTTCACTTCACTCAAGTTCTTCACTTCCCTTTCTCCAGCTCTCCAAATTCAATGGATCCACCTCCGCTCCACGTCGTCTTCCTCCCTTTCATGGCTCAAGGCCACATGATCCCAATCACAGACATGGCCAGGCTCTTCGCCCGCCGCGGCGTCAAGTCAACGATCATCACCACTCCCCTCAACGCCCCTCTCTTCTCCGGCAAGATCCGCCGCGACGCCCAATTGGGTCTCCCAATCGAAACCCACATCATCGAATTCCCCTGCGTCGAGGCAGGGCTGCCGGAAGGTTGCGAGAACGTCAGCGCCATCAGGTCCCCGGACCTCATGATCCCGTTCTTCAAGGCCATGGCCGTCTTCCAGCGCCCCGTCGAGGATCTGCTCCGAAATTGGCGGCCGGATTGCATCGTCGCCGACGTCGTCTTCACCTGGGCTACAGAGACTGCCGGGAGACTCTGCATCCCGAGGCTCTTCTTCAACGGAACAGGGGCGTTCGTCGTGTCTGTGCTTCACGCCCTCAAACTCCACGAGGCTTGCAACGGATTGGAATCAGATTCCGAACCCTTCCTTGTCCCCGGCCTGCCGCATGAGATTCGATTGATCAAGACGCAGCTCCCGCCTTTCGTGAAAGGGGATCAATCGGATAGCGGGATCCGAGAGGCAATGGAGGAATCGGAGGTCAACTGCTTTGGCACCGTGTTGAATAGCTTCCACGAGCTCGAGCCCGGGTACGCCGAGTATTACAGGAAGGTAATGGGGAGGAAGGCATGGCTGATTGGTCCATTGTCGCTCGGCAACAAGGATGGTACAGAGGAAAAAGCAGAGAGGGGAGATGTGGTTACCTCCATCGATGAACAGGAATGTTTGAGATGGCTGGATGCCAGGGAACCCAATTCGGTGTTGTATATCTGCTTTGGGAGCACATCGTACATTTCCGATGCTCAGCCGTGTGAGATCGCTGGTGCTCTGGAGTCGTTCGAGGAGCTGAGCTTCATCTGGGTTGTGAGGAAGGGGGAATTGCTACCGGAAGGGTTCGAGGAAAGGACTAAAGGGTTGGTGATCAGGGGATGGGCGCCTCAGGTGCTGATTCTCGACCACGGGGCGATCGGAGGGTTCGTGACGCACTGTGGGTGGAACTCGACGCTCGAAGCTGTGGCTGCAGGGGTGCCGATGGTGACATGGCCGCTCCAGGCGGAGCAGTTTCTCAACGAGAAGTTGGTGACCGATGTTCTGAAGATCGGTGTTGGAGTTGGAGCTCAAGAATGGTCGAGAGGTGAGAGGAAGATCGTCGTGGGGAGGGAAGACATAGCGAGGGCGATGACTCGGGTGATGGTCGGCGAGGAGGCGGAAGAACTGAGGGGCAGAGCTAGGAAGCTTCAGGAAATGGCTGTCAGGGCGAATGAAGAAGGAGGATCGTCTAATTCTGATCTGAAATCGTTATTGGAGGAACTAAAGTCTCTTAGGGACAAGAAATTGTGATGGCTGGTAGGGATGACAATCGAGCAGGTTCCATAATTAGCCGCTGCGACGACGTTTTCCCTTTCCATGTATTAGCCGTTAAGCAAACACTGTTTTAGTTGCTAATGACCAGTAGAAACAAGACACTTGGAGTTAGGGCTGGGAAACGGTGCGGTCTGGTCCAGACCAGACCATATATACGGTCTATGGTCCAGACTGAAAGGTTAAAGTATAGACCACAGACCAGACCACAGACTATACGGTCCGGTTCATACCACGCCTGTGCGGTCTGGTTCGGTCTGGTCTGGTCCAGATAGGCCACACTCAACGAAAAATGAATAATTTGTTTAGTCAACCACACAAAAAATTGAACCAATAACCAAGAAAAATAATTGTTATTTGTCTTAAAACATTAATCCTAACATGCATGAATAATTTTGATACTCTAAATCTTAGTACATAACAAAAATACAAATTAAAAGCATCCCAACTTGCACCATAATGTCATAAACATTATTATAATGTCATATGGAGACACGATTATCTCTACTCTCTGGTTAAATGTGGTTGTGAATGAAGAAGGGACGAGATTCACAAAACTAAGTTTGAGACTTGAGTGTCGTTGTGGGAGTTGGGAGAGTGATCGAATGAGCTGTTAACACGTATTGACAAGTCAGTTGGGTCCACGGTTTGGTCCGGTAAACCGCGGTCTAGACCAGACCAGACCAAGAGATCAAAACATAAAATAACACAGACCATGGACCAGACCAAACCATACTTAACGGTCTACGGTCCAGACCAAACTGTACGGTACGGTTTGGACCACGGTTTTTCTAACGGTCTGGTCTATTTTCCCAACCCTACTTGGAGTTGTGGTTTGATTTAATTTCGTTGCTATAAAAAGAACAGAGAACTCAGCAGAAAGCTTGACCTTCACTTTCACAAATCACTATACAGAAATTCTCAAGAGCTGGAGACGAGATTATGCCGATTACTACAGATCTGCTCTCGGGAGACGCGCTTGGCACGTTGGTCCTCTGTCTCTCTACAACAGCAATGGAAAGGAATCGGAAAGGGGGAAACGAGATTCTGACTGCCTGAATTGGCTCGACGGTAAAGGACCCGGCTCGATGATCTACGTTTGCTTCAGGAGCATGTCGATGTTCGGGAAGGAGCAATTGAGGGAGATCGCTATCGGATTGGAAGCTTCAGCGGAGCAATTCGTATGGGTAGTGAGGAAGGACGAGGGCGACAACGACGAGAGCGAATGGCTGCCTCAAGGATTCGAGGCGAGATTAGGAGGGAGACGATTGATCGTAAGAGGATGGGTGTCGCAGGTTGTTAGCGTACTAATCACTTGGTACCAATAGCTCGAGTTGTTGGGTGTAAAATATGCTGAAATCGATAATGTGGAATAGACGAGACGCGATTAAACGTGGTATCCCAGATGATCGGGACTAGTCCACGGGAGAGAACAACTCTCTCCAGCTGATATGTTATTACGTTCTTAATGGTGGCCAAGACCCATACACTTGCTTTTATACCCTTCTACATACTCAACTAGGGTACAACTAGCGCTACATGGACAATCATACGCAGCACAAGCATAAGCCGCCTTGGACTTGCTGGATGACACATCGGGCAGCTGGGTTACGGGTCGATGCGCCGACTGGGCTAAACCCATTACTACCCCGCAAGATGCAGCGTGTAGATCACGAACGTGCAGCTTGGACAAGAGGAAATGAAAGCGTTCAGCCCCAAGACCTTTGGTGAACATGTCTGCAACCTGGAGTTGCGAGCTGACCTTCAAGGGCTTGATATCTCCTGACTGAACACGCTCGTGAACAAAATAACAATCCATCTCCACATGTTTAGTATGCTCTTGAAAGACTAGATTAGCTGCTATGTGAAGGGCAACTTGATTATCGTAACACAGTAAAGTAGAACCACTCTGTGGAGCTCCCAATTCCTGTAACAGCCAACGCAACCAAAGAACTTCACTGACTATACTAGTCATGGCTCTATATTTAGCCTCTACTAAAGACCTGGCGACAACATGCTGCTTCGTGGTGCGCCATGACACAGGAACCCCGCCAAGCATGATAACATACCTAGTGGTAGAACGCCGGGTAGACTGACAGCCACCCCAATCGGCATCGTAGTAGGCAACAAGATACAGGGTGGTCGATGAAAGAAAGAAGAGTCCCTGATCTGGTGACTACTTGAGATATCCGAGTATCCGCTGACCTGCTTCCATGTGTGCTCTCGTAGGAGCATGGACAAACTGACTGAAAATGTTGACGCCGTACGTGATATTCGGTCACATAAACAGAAGGATCTGGGTGATCAGCTGCGGCAGACTGAGTGAGATGGTGATTCTGTTCAACCGGGAAAGCACTCGGTCGACTCCCCAAGACTCCCGAATCACTAAGGATGTCGATGAGGTATTTCCTCTGGCTAAGAACAACTCCTTCAAGCGACCGGGAAACTTCAATCCCAAGAAAATAACGCAAGCTGCCAAGATCCCTTTTAGTGAACCGGGAACGGAGAAACTGCTTCACTCGAGTAATGAAGTCAAGACAATTACCAGCCAGAATGACGTCGTCCACATAGATAAGAGCGACGACGTGGATACTCCCCCGACGAAAGCTAAAAAGTGAATGGTCTGCCAGTGATGGACGAAACTGTAATTCACAAAGTGTTGCGGTAAATTTGTGATACTAGTTCCATGAAGCGTGACGTAGGGTGTAGATCAACTTGTGAAGACGGCATACGCTAGTCTCACCCAGTGCAGCAAATCCCTGAGGAATACACATATCAACTTCTTCATCCAGATCACCGTGAAGAAATGTGTTGTTGACATTTAATTGATGAATGAACCACCCCTTGCTAACAGCAACAACAAGAAGACACCGAATCGTAACAAGCTTAGCAACCGGTGTAAAAGTATCATGGAAATCAACGCCCTCCACCTGCGTGTACCCCTTTGCCACTAAACGCGCTTTGTAGCGCTCAATGGTGCCATCATGTAGAAATTTCACTTTAAGAACCATTTACAACCAATTACACGCTTTCCCAGAGGTAAAACAACGAGACTCTATGTCCCATTTTGCTCGAGGGCGGCGGCTTCAACACTCATAGCATGTCGCCAACACTCATGGTGCACTACTTCAAAAAAACTCCTTGGCTCCGGATGGTGTGCTACTACGGCAAGAAACGCACAGTAATTAGATGAAAACTTGTCATAATCAAGATGACTAGACAAAGGATAAGAAATTGCATTAGCTTGACTTCCCGTGTAATAAATATCAAGCCGTTTAGGCGGCACACGAGGTCGATCACTGCGTTGCAATGCCGGAGGATCAGCGGCCGTCTCAGGTGCATTTGACGGATTAGGTCCAACCGAAAGATCGTCGACTAAGGAAGAAATGTGAGGAGTCTCCGCGGTAGAGAAAGAACTTGGGCTGGTATCAACCACAGGGGATGAGACGGGCTTCACGGTTGAAGACTCGGGCGAAGACACACACTGGTGCTCGCCATGACGTGCGACAGAAGAGGACTCGGGAGCATCCACGAGTTCATCTTCCACATCATCAGGCGGTAGGTGAAAAACAGCTCCATCGACCCAATGAAATTGACGTGATGTTTGATCTTGGAAATGGAACACCGACTCGCGAAATATGAAATCACGGCTGGTGAAGAGACGGTGGGTAGCCAAGTCATAAACTCGATATCCCTTTTGACTTGCTGCATAGCCGAGGAAGACACAAGCATGGCCACGCTCATCAAAATTCCCGAGATGTGCGTGGGTATCCTTGCAATATACGAGACAACCAAAGGTACACAAATGTGAGTAGGAGGCAGGCTTATCAAACAACACCTTAAAAGGAGTACGACTCGTAACAGTGGTCGGTAACCGATTTATCAAATGCGCGGTAGTGAGGATTCACTCTCCCCAAAACCGTACCGGCAAAGAAGCCTGAAAACGCAGTGCTCTTGCAGTCTCAAGTTGATGTCGATGCTTTCTCTCAACTACCCCGTTTTGCTGAGGCGTGTTTGAAAAACGATCCCTTCGCTCTCATAGAAATTTCGCAAGGCGACGATGTTAAATTCAGAACCATTATCTGTTTGTATCTTCTTCACCTGCTTACCAAACTGTGTATGAACCAGATTGCATAACAATTTGAGATAACTACCAACCTCATACTTGAATTTTATAAGATATTCCCAAATTTCACGACTGAAGTCATCAACAATTGTCAAAAAATAACAAGCACCACTGAGTGAAGGTGTGCTATAACCACCCCAGATATCCAAATGTATCATTTGAAAACAAGAAGAGGTCTGAATGCCACTGACTGGAAAGGGGGTACGAACTTGTTTAGCTCGCAAACAAGAATGACAAGAGTTATTATTCGACTCTACTGTAACAGAAATAACTCCACGAAGCTGTGACAAAACAGTTGGCGAACGATGACCCAACCTTGCATGCCAAAGCGATCCAGAAAGCTCGGAACCTTTTGCCACCGCATTGACCTGAGCAGGACAACCCCCAAACAGCTTCAAGAAGTGTAAACCATCCCAGATCTCACCCTTCCTAATCACGTTCTTAGAGTGTAAGTCCTGTATAATGCAAAAATCATCGATAAAGATCAACGCGACATGGTGCTCCTGGCAAAGGCAACTGACTGACAACAGATTACAACGAAACTCTAGAACGTGCAAAACACGACCAAGGACAAGCCCATTACCCATCCGAACATAACCCACACGTTTGACTGGTATACTAGCTCCATTCGGGATACGAATAGGTTGACTATGTATATCAGAATTATGGGAATCATGATTCATCCATCGTTATGTGCTCATTGCACCATAAATCAATCAACCATTCAGGTTCATTAGAGAAAGTAAACATACCCGCCATATGGCTCGTCGGATCAACTACTGGTGGAAACTGCCCACCGAAATATTGCTTTAATTGTTCCAGATGTTGTTCGGAGAAATCACGCACGGGATTTGCTTCCGCTTTGGCATGTGAAGCTCGGGGCTCTCTACTCTCACCACTTGAATGCCCAGAATCTCGCCCAGCCTCTCGGATCCTCTTTCTATCTGGGCGGTCAGCTTGCTTGTCACGAGATTCACGAGAAGGCCAACCAATTATTTCGTAACATGTTTCTCGCAGGTGGCCCTTTTTGCCGCAATGGGTGCATTGCATCCTTTCTCTCTCACCAGAACCGCGCTCTCGATCATGAGGGTTGCGATTCGCACCAGCTAGCTTTCTCAACATCTCCACGCATAGCAAAAGCAACTGCCTCTGGCACTGGTTTGCGGTTCTGGGTAATGTTGCATTGCTGCTCATCGTTATATACGATGCGGAACGCATCTGGTAAGATTGGCGGCGTGGGCATGGAAATAATATGTCTTCGAACGGTCCCGTAAGACTCGTCGAGCCCAAGCAAAAAATCTAGGAGCCTCAGGCTCTCGTTTTAGTCCCGACTTCGTTGCCCACAGGGACAAAGCGGCAGCGACAAGATCGATTGGGTCTCCTCCCAAACTTTCCGAAGGCTCGTATAGAAACTTGAGAGCGACTGTTTCTCTTGCTGCAAGAGACTGACGTGCCGACGCAGCTCGTAGGCTCGAGTCAGATTCCCTTTCCTAAAGCGATCCCGGAGATCCTCCCATATCTCCTGGGCCGTCTTGGCATGCATGACACTACTACGTAGCGTAATGGGAAAGGGAAGGGTTATCATGCGGAAAAGGAATCGATCCATCGACAAACCCTAACTTGTTCTTCTTTACCAAAGCATTGCGCATCTCCAAGACCCACTAGCCATAGTTTGATGGCGTCAGAAGGCTGCTGATAAGTAGATGCCCAGTGCTATCAGACTGGTGTATAAAGAATGGACTAAGCAACTCAACATCCTTTCCACCAGAACCAAATTCGTCGGACTTCGACGACGGAGTAGTCTCGAGGGATGACTCTTCTCCATACATACTTGACTTTGAAACGGATTAATGCTCTGATACCATGTAAAATATGCTGAAATCGATAATGCGGAATAAACGAGACACGATTTAACGTGGTATCCCCGATGATCGAGACTAGTCAACGGGAGAGAACAACTCTCTCAAGCTTATATGTTATTATGTTTTTAATGGTGGCCAATGGCCATACACTTGCTTTTATACCCCTCTACATACTCAACTAGGGTACAACTAGTGCTACATGGACAATCATACGCAGCACGAGCATAAGCCGCCTTGGGCTTCCTGGATGACACATCGGGCTGCTGGGTTACGGGCCAATGAGCCGACTGGGCTAAACCCATTACTGGGAAATTGTTTATTTATCTTTTTATCTTTTGCACCGGTTGCGATCCCTGAGCACCGTGCGGTTGGAGGATTCGTGACGCATTGCGGGTGGAACTCGACGTTGGAAGGGGTGGCGGCGGGGAAGGCGATGGTGACGTGGCCGATGTTTGAGGAGCAATTCTACAACGAGAAGCTGGTGACGGAGGTGTTGGGGATCGGCGTGGCGCTGGGGGTGACGGAGTGGGTGCGGCTGCGCGGCGAGAGGATGAGGGGGGGAGATTCGAAGAGAGCGGTGAGGAAGGTTATGGACGGCGACAACGAGGAGGCAGGGGAGATGAGGGAGAGGGCGAGAAAGGTTGGTGAAATGGCGAGGAGAACTGTGGAAGAAGGAGGGTCTTCATGGAAAGATTTGTATGGTTTGATTGATGAGCTGAAGGGGCTTCATAGCCATGGTTGAGATGTATGATTTAGGTTAGACAATACTGGGATTGAGGATGTCCCAGATGACAAAGCGACGAATTTCTCTAAACCATCTTCATTCTGGTTTGTAAATATTCAGATTCATAAAGTCCATATCTTTTGAGGAAGTTTTGCAAACTTATTCTCATACTCGTAGTTGTTATTGTTACGACCAGATGACAAAACGGATTGCATCACAAAAAATCAGTGTTTGTAAAATCGTATTGTACCGACAATTCGATATAAAAAACCTATTATAAAAATCTAAATTCATATGCGGTTATTAACGTTATGAAACAGTTGAACTACAGTTAAATCACGTTTCATCATAAAATATCAAATTACTGACGTTTTTCCGTACAACCTCCTATACGATATTTAGAATGTCGTCAAGAATATGGCAATACTCAGCTAAACGATCAGTTTCCTTATGGTCAAAGTTGGAGGCTAATACTTTTCAACAACAAGCAGACAGAGAAAAAGAGAGATGGATCACATTACTGGGATAGACCGCCACTCGCCTTAATTTCCACGGCTATTCTTCCAAATCTAGTGACCCGAGTCCTAAAACGGCATCTATAAAAATCTCAAGAACAACCAGATCACTGCCACAGATCAATCCCACTACACTCAAGTTCTTCACTTCCCTCCAAATCAATGGATCCACCACACCACCAGCTCCACGTCGTCTTCCTCCCTTTCATGGCTCAAGGCCACATGATCCCAATCACAGACATGGCGAGGCTCTTCGCCCGCCGCGGCGTCAAGTCAACGATCATCACCACTCCCCTCAACGCCCCTCTCTTCTCCGGCAAGATCCGCCGCGACGCCCAATTGGGTCTTCCAATCGAAACCCACATCATCGAATTCCCCTGCGCCGAGGCAGGGCTGCCGGAAGGTTGCGAGAACGTCAACGCCATCAAATCCCCCGAGCTCATGATCCCGTTCTTCAAGTCCATGGCCGTTTTCCAGCGCCCGGTGGAGGATCTCCTCCGGCAGTGGCGGCCGGATTGCATCCTCGCCGACGTGGTTTTCACCTGGGCTACAGAGACCGCCGCCAGACTCTGCATCCCGAGGCTCTTCTTCAATGGAACAGGGGCGTTCGCCGTGTCTTTGCTTCACGCCCTCAAACTCCACGAGCCGTACAAAGTCGTGGAATCTGATTCCGAACCTTTTCTTCTCCCTGGATTGCCGCATGAGATTCAATTGACGAAGTTGCAGCTCCCGCCTTTTTTGAAAGGCGATGAATCGGATAGCGGGATTAAGGAACTGCGAGAGAAAATGGAGGAATCGGAGGTCAACAGCTTTGGGGCTGTAGTGAATAGCTTCCACGAGCTTGAGCCGGGGTACGCCGAGTACTACAGGAAGGTAATGGGGAGAAAGGCATGGTTGATTGGTCCATTGTCGCTCGGTAACAAGGACGGTACCGAGGAAAAAGCAGAGAGAGGAAATGTTGCCTCCGCCGCCGACATCGATGAACATGACCATTTGAGATGGCTGGATGGTATGGAACCCAATTCGGTGTTGTATATCTGCTTTGGGAGCATATCCAACATGTCGAATGCTCAGCTGTGTGAGATCGCTGGTGCTCTGGATTCGTCGGAGCAGAGCTTCATCTGGGTTGTGAAGAAGGGGGAATTGCTGCCGGAAGGGTTCGAGGAGAGGATGAAGGGGAAAGGGATTGTGATCAAGGGATGGGCGCCTCAGGTGCTGATTCTCGATCACACGGCGATCGGAGGGTTCATGACGCACTGCGGGTGGAACTCGACGCTCGAAGCTGTGGCTGCAGGGGTGCCGATGGTGACATGGCCGCTCCAGGCAGAGCAGTTTCTCAATGAGAAGTTGGTGACCGATGTTCTGAAGATCGGTGTTGGAGTTGGAGCTCAAGAATGGTCGAGAGGTGAGAGGAAGATCGTCGTCGGGAGGGAAGACATAGAGAGGGCGATAGCTCGGGTGATGGTCCGAGAGGAATCGGAAGAACTGAGGGGCAGAGCTAGGAAGCTTCAGAAAATGGCTGTCGGGGCGAATGAAGAAGGAGGATCTTCTAATTCTGATCTGAAATCGTTATTGGAGGAACTAAAGTCTCTTAGGGGCAAGAAATTGTGATGGCTGGTAGGGATGCCAATCGAGCAGGTTCCATTAATATGAATCTCTAGCGAACTTTGAAAAGAAGAGAATTATTGTACGCTTATGCAAAGAGATGCACAATATTAATATGATGAAGAGCACATCAATAGTTACAATTCAATATCCAAGCCACAGACCATCAAAATTTCGATTGAATTGAAAAGAAACCAAGTTACAACCTCGAAGATGGAATTCGAAACTGTATCCTAAACAAACTCAACACAGAACAGAGGAACATTGACAAGATTATCGTTCTCAAGAAGCTAACCAAGTATTTCATACTGACTGCAAGCTAACCAAGTATTGCATACTGACTGCCTTTTCGGAGATCCTACATCATCTCATCTTCAAGAAATTTTCACCATCAAGCCTCGGTTCTCTCGACGTCTTCAAGGATAAGGGCCTTGGTTGGCTTTCCCAGAAGATCGGTGTACTCTTGGAAAGGCGACTTGGTGAAGCGGGTGTCCTTCCAGAAATCAGGGGTCAAGAAACCATACGTCTTCAGGAGGCAATCAAATGTAGCCTGTTGCATCAAACAAAGAACAGACCGACCTCCGATCAGTACGAGCAGTCCCCAGAATCAGAATTACCACAAAAACATAAAAGCATTATGAACCAAATCATTCTGCCTCCAACCAACTGCATACATTGACATCACTTCCCATGTCATAAGCAATCAAACAATCACAAACAAAGTGCAAAACTTCACAAGCATTTCTTCAAAGGTAAACTTCCATTGCTACTACCCAACTAAGAGAATCGGATTCCCTCGCAATCCAACTATGAGATGAACTTCATCAGCTATTGAGAAAGAGCTAGCAATCCATTACTTCAGATTGGCTGATTTCAGCAACCACAAGTAAAACTAGAACCTAGCTCATCCTACATCATGTATAGATAAAATACCATTCCACGAGACAAATAACCAAACATTGGTCCAAATGAAGGGAGAAATTTAATCAGACCTTCACGAAATTGCCAAGGGTTTTGGTGGATCCACGGGAGGAAGTGAAAACGTCCTCAATCCCAGCAAACTGCAGAACCTTCTTCGGCACACGAGCCGCGACGATCCCAGCACCACGCGGGGCGGGCACCATCCGGACGGTGACGGAGCCACATTTCCCGGTGACCTTGCAGGGCACCGTGTGTGGCAGCCCGATCTTGTTCCCCCAGTACCCTCTCCTAACCGGAATCACGGACAGCTTCGCCAGAATGATGGCGCCGCGAATCGCAGTGGCGACTTCCTTGCTGCACTTGACGCCCAATCCGACGTGGCCGTTCCCGTCGCCGACGACGACGAAGGCCTTGAATCGGGTGCGCTGCCCGGCGCGGGTCTGCTTCTGGACGGGGCTGATCTTCATGACTTCATCCTTCAGAACGCCGGGGCCGACGAGGGTGTCGATGATCTGGTACTCCTTGATTGGGAGGGAGTGGAGGTAGATTTGCTCCAAGCTGCGGATCTTGCCTTCTTTCACCAGGCGGCCGAGCTTGGTCACGGGAACCCACTTCTCCTCCTCGTCGCGGCGGCCGGCGCGGCGACGACCCCTTCCTCGGTCGCCTCCCCGTCCCCCGAATCCACGGCGGCCTCTCTCGCCACCGGCTCTGTCGGCTCCACCTCTGTCAGCCATGGTTGCCTCTCTTTGCAATTCGCTCTCTCTATCTCTGTTTCAGGGGAGTGGGATTAGGGTTTTTCGCGGTTTATTTATGTAGTCCAGAAAAGATGAAGAAGGGAAGGTTTAATTGGGCTGGGCCTGACCCTTCAAAATTAAATGGGTATTGAATGGCCCAAGCTGCATGGGGTTTGTCATTCTATGTGGATGGGCGATAGCAATGTCTGGCCCAAATGGCTTAACAAGACTATAGAAGTACAATCAGTTAAAACATGTTGAAGAATAGGCATGAGATTACAACGGCTTGAAAAGTAAATCGTGGCAGTCAATATTAATTGATTTGTTAATGAAAATAGAAAGCTCTATCAATTTATAAGAATAGAGTGACCAAAAAACACTACAAACTTATAAAAGGATATAAATTGTCATCGAACTCGCACTCACATCCGAACCCGGAAGATATGCATGACGCCAACTTTGTCATTATATAACCTCCACGACAGCATCCCAAAACACGGTTCAATAGTTGCACCTGCAAAATTAACAAACACAAAAGCCATTGCAGGCCCAAGAAAAAGTCTTGAGTACTGTTGTTGTCATTGCACCGGCTTGATTAGGCAACCCTCTTGGTGGAATGGACCTACTGACTGAACCCAGTGACTTGAGAAATTAACTTAAAGCAATATTATTTTAAATGGGGTCCAAAAAATAAAATATTTTTTTAAAATTTTATGGGGTTTCATAGTGCAAAATTAAAATTCGTCTAATGAATCGCACATATAAATTTACAATTTTTCTTTGCAAATAGTAGTAGGGTGGCTCCATAGATGGTTTGATTGTTTACTCCTTTACAATAAGAGTTCACAGAATTATGAGCGAAAATGACAATCACTTCATGAAAATTTTATAGTAAACCTTAAGAGAGAGTAGCAACACAATCGTATAAAGATCCGGTGTGAGTTGTGCCTGAACTCAGAATTTACTTATAAAAATAGGGTTTACAAAAGTCATGTATATTGATTCATTTATAACTAATCGCTCTCTTCATATCCATCGCTTGCTGTCAAAGCAAATTAAGGGCATGGAGAGAAACCTTTAAATGTCTATAGTCACCCTGAGATACAGGATATTATGGGGCGCAGATCGATCAAAAAGACAAAAACCATGTGTAGAGATGAAAGTGAGATGCAAGCGATCGAGCTATAATAAACCTCTTGAATACATACATCTTTTGCTGTCAATTTTGTCCTCCAAGTAACCAATCAATTTTGCTTCCAATATTGGTTATACGTTCTGTTGTTACAAGTTGCAGGCATCGGAAATTGGGGAGGGTGCAGAGAGAAAAGACGGTGGTGGCATGTGCAGCTTGCTGGCTGCCTACCTCACCACTCACCGGTGACTTACCAGTCTGTGCAATTGCAGCAAATAGTAAACACAAGTTCCAACTTCCAATCTATGGTGGCAAGCAATGCTTGCATTGCAACATATATTTGAAAATATCCCGTAGCCGGTAGGGGTGGGCATGGGTCCGGTCCGGACCGAATCAGACCAAATTCAGATAATCGTGATCCAATCGTGAAAGATAACTTAGAACCAAGGATCGGACCAATAGTGAATTCAGTCCGCTTTGGTCCGATCCAAATGTCAATTCGGTCTATTTTTGTTCAGTATTTATAAAATTCATGGAATAAACCATATTATATTTAATTCGGTATGGTCCGGTCCAAACATCGATTCGGTCAGGTGTGGTCCGGCGTGGACCAACTCATTGCCCAATGCCCACCTCTATTGGCCGGTAATCTAATGGGGCGATTTATTGAGTAACTTGACCCAATTGTTATATCCAAATGGACCCGTATATGCACCTTTAATGATTTCGGGGTTGTGTTGGATTTGAATAGTGACTCATTTGGATTAGACTCAAATAAGCCAATTTGTGTTCAAAAGATTCTACGTAAAAAAAACAATATAACGTCAACCATCTCATTAACGGCCTTCAATGCAAGTACACCTTTAATGCCGGTGTTTCCACCTTTCTTTTAGTTTCCGAACAAAAAAGCGAGGTAAAAACTGCATTTAGAATCGAATATTCATTTTCTTTTGGGCACCCAATATTGTATGTCAGATTTAGACCCAACTTAAAAAGTTGAACATGAATCTACCAAAAAAATATAATTACTTAATCTGATTCAACATATTATAAGTTGTAGTGGTGTTCAAATGGTTACCATGATAATTATCAAACCAAATAAGCCTAAAATCTAGTAACCATGAAATAAAATATCATAACCAAACCGTCCATACTAATACAACATCCAAATTAACCAAACTAAAGTTTATTCGGTTTGGTTAATTGGTTAATCATAATAACCAATATAATATAGTTAACCCTTAACATAAGTACATTAAATGAGGAAATCTCCGGTTAATGCATCAATTCCTAATTTATATAATGAATAAATCATAACAATTAACCCATAGTTATAGTTAACCCTTAACATAAGTACATTTAACTAATATAATTATCTTACTGTCAATAGATGTATTCATGTAACAAAAAAATATGTCAATAGTATGGGGGTAATGAATTGTTGTGTTTCGTAAATTGACTTATTCTCTTAGCAATTATCATAGGCTTAAATAGACCTTCCTCTCAAGTTTTCATCCAACATATTGTATGGATTTTTATCTAAAATAGGAGTCCATATGTTGTGCTCTACACTCTACAAATATAAATATACAATATATGAACAATATTGAACTTTATTTTTTACTAGCTTATAACCCGGCCCTTTTGCCGAAATGCTTATATTTGATTATTTATATTTTATGTTAATTTTAAGTCTATTAACCCCTTTAATCTTATTCACAATCATTCGATCGAGATGATACATACAGAAATAATATATAGGTCGAACATTCAGAGAAATTTCATAATCATTTAAGAATATAAAATATAAAAATATATCATTGATTCCATTTTCATAAAGCTAATTAAGTCCATGTTAAAATGCTATTGGTTAGTTGATGGTCAAGAAAGATAGAGTATAAAAACTCACTGAAATTCCCACACACCCATAGATAGTTTGAAACGAAATCTTAAACCTCACAATCCTATATAATGGCTTCAATGCTCTCCTTTTAGAAACAATATGTCACTAATCAAAAAGAAATGGAGAGTTGTTGATTCAAGTCATCTATATACTAAGAACTCAGCTAAGAGGGGACCATCACAACTTGAGAGCAAACGAAAAAATCAGGGTTACCTCCAATATACGAATAGACTCGATCAAAGTAATAAGGCGCAAAATTAGACACTCCTTATCTATCAGTTCCAGTAGGTTGAATAAAGAAGCGACCCACTTCAAACAATCAATAAATGATTCCTCATTTTAAGATAGAAATAGGTTGTGACAGTTGCAAAAACCATAAACCTAAATATCAAATAGCCACTACTCTCCGTTGTATAACCAAATTTCTATCTCAAGATGCATATGATTCAACCAAAAAATCAATTTCTAATCCTCCTTCTGCAACTCCAGTTATTGATGAACTTCATTCTATTCGCCATGGATTGATATCGGAGTTGAAATCTTCTACTCGCGCAGTTTAAATCCCAAACAATAAAACCGTAGTGCCAAGAGATACCTGAAGATTTATTTTCAATGACAGTCTTGTACTGGGAAGTGAAAGGGGCGCAAACTATTGCACGATGGATGAAATTTCGGAGGAAGTTAGAAAGAGAAAAGAACAAAGATAAAAAAGCACAAAATTTAAATTAAAAAAATGCAAGGATACAACACGTAGTAACATAATTAGTTTCTTCCATGTTAGCCAATTACCAATTTACCTTTAGCAAAATTAAGGAGAGAGCAGGAATTTTATTTGAGAAAATTACATGAAACTCTACTATGAAAATAGAAGTATCTAGCTCGATAAAAATACATACGGTAGACTTAGTGGACTTGCTAATCACGATGGAAAAGTCCTATGATTTTCATAGTTTAACTTCGTCTATGTTTTGTATAAAAAGGATGCAATAAATTTATTTAGTGTAACTGGTTGTGATTGTTGTCCTTGTTTGAAGAGACCCGGGTTCAAACCTTGATATTTTTATTTTTATATGAAATAAATAATTAATGTGTAAAGACAAAAATGGTCTTCCTACTTTCAATCTCGTTGCAGGAAGGAACGTTTTTTTACACTTGAGTGGTTATGCAAAATATTAAGTATGTGTATATAATATTTATGAGATATATGACTAATTACTTAACTGGTTAATTTGGGTTGATTGGTTAGGAATATCTGAAACCTCCCACAAAAAAAAGGGAATATCTGAAACCAAACCAACCCACTTAAACAAAACATGCTAAAAAATTCAACCAAACCAAACCGTTATTCGAATTAACCAAACCAAATTATCCAAATACTACCGGTTAAAATGATTACCACAATAACCACATCGTTTGAACACCCCTAATAAGTTGCATCTTGAGTAATATCCAAATATTGAGCCTGTTTTTGCCATGTGACTCTAGTGGCTTGCATATTATTGTTTGTTGGTTTGTTCTTGAAGGCCATTGCCGATTCAACTGGGTGTTTGTTGCGGCCACTCTTTGCTAACAAGTTGGAAAGAGATCTGGGAAACTTGCCATAAATAATACTACAGGAAACCCTACTCCATGATGGACCATTAATATTATTTTCATGGGATTATTGGTTCAAGTGCCCGCCTGCTCAAACCTCATGCTCCTCCTCCTCATCCATTTGTTATATATCTCTTCTCAACAGATTTTGACTATCACCAAAGGTCGTTTTCTCAAAACACGAAGCAATGTTTTGATGACATATATGATATATATACATATAAATATATAGAAAGATCCCAAACTACAATACATATAGACAGATAAATATATACTAAGTAAGCAAGTTGTAAAAAAAATCACGATAAGAAGAAAACATTATCGATCGCTATCTTTAATTCGTAGACATTGTATACCATGACTCCATGAGTATGGACTGGTATTAGTTAGCTACCTTATCTTATTGGTTTCTTCGA